CCGAAGAAATGGGCTGTAGTCCACGAAAGCTTATGCTCTAATAAATTTGTTAGTCTCTAAGGTGCCACAAGTACTCCTGTTCTTTTTGCGGATACAGACTAACACGGCTGCTACTCTGAAGGATGTTTATGTGTAGCGTGGCTTCCCAGGGCATTCATTCACCTTGCACAGTGTGGTCCAGATGGGCATCCCATCCTGTAAGGGAGGTGTCCATAATGATAGTGGCCGTCAGTATGGGAGGGCTGAAAGGGGTCTCAGTTATGACCTTGGTCAGATGGGACCACCAAATGAGAGGGGCCAGAACGTCTGAGGGAACAGTGACCCTGAAGTCAACGTGGTCCCCTGGTTGGGTTGTAGGTTGAATTAAGCCAGGCTTGTAGGTGCTGCAGGTGAAGTCTTGCAAGCAGTGTCATGTATATGGGGGTGGCCATGTGTTCCAAGAGAAAGAGGCAATCAGCGTGGTCATCGCGGAGAACTGGTCCACCGGAAGGAAGGCTTGTGTAGAGACTGAGTCCAGCCTTGTCCCTATAAAGTTTATCATCTGCATGGGTGATAAAACAGACTCCTAAGAAGGAAAGGAGGTGTTGAAAAGACTGAATCACGAGAACTTCTTGCTGCGATTGTTCCACTAGAAGCTAGTCATCCAGGTACAGGAATACCGTACGTCCCTGGCATCTCATCTGTGCCACTACAACGGCGAACACCTTCATAAAGGCCCTTGGTGCTGTACCTAGGCCAAAAGGGAGGACACGAAACTGTTAGTGTTGTTGCCCCACCTTAAATCAGAAGTCAGGTTTCAGAGTAGAAGCCGTGTTAGTCTGTATCTGCAAAAAGAACAGGAGTACTTGTGGCACCTTAGAGACTAACAAATTTATTAGAGCATAAGCTTTCGTGGACTACAGCCCATTTCTTCGGATGCATTCCTTAAATCAGAAGAACTTCCTGTGAGACGGTTGGATGTCCACATGGAAGTATGTGTCTTTCATGTTGAGAGCCATGAACCATACTCCCTCCAGGAGAGAGGGAATTATCGATGCAAGAGTGGCCATCCGGAATTACTGCTTACAGATTAATATATTTAGCTGACAAAGATCCAGGATGGGCCTCTGCCTTTTTTAGGAATGAAGAAATACGGTTAGTAGAAACGTCTCCCCTGGTATTGAGGAAGGACACACTCTATAGCACCCTTGAGGAGCAAGGACTTTGCTTCCTGCTAGAAAATAAATTGGTGGGAGAGGTCCCCTGAAGGGAGTCAGGAGAGAGGGCGATAAGGTAGGAAGGAAAGAAACTATGGAGTATCTATGGTGGATAATCTCCAGTACCCATCTGTCCATGGGGATCTTGCCCCAACTGTGGGCAAAGAGGTTAAGATGGCCACCAGAGATGACAGGAGACAAAGTAGGTGGCATCAGAGTTGGTTTGTGGGTCCTAACCTGCATGTCAAAATTGGTAGGCGCCGTGGTCTGAAGGACTCCCTGGGAGTCGGGGTGTAGATTCTCATTGAATGCACAGTGGAGCATGAGTTCTTCAGGGATTGCAGAGACTCAGCCACCTTGTTGTTAAAAAGATTGTTTTTGTCGAAAGGGAGGTTTTCCATGGTGTTTTGGACCTCCCTCAAGAAATTCAAAGACTTGAGCCAAGAGTGTCTGTGCATAACCAGTCTGGTGGCCAGAGAATGGAATGCAGTGTCAGCTGCATCCACCACGGCCTTGATGGCCACTTTTGCCACCAGTTTCCTCTCATCTACCAAAGCCTGGAATTAGACCTGGTCATCCACAAGGAGCTTGTCCTTAAACTCCAGGGCCGGCTCCAGGGTTTTTGCCGCCCCAAGCAGCCACCCCCCCACACCCCCGGCAAAACAAAAACAAACAAGCCGCGATCGCAATCGCGATCTGCGGCACTTCGGCAGGAGGTCCTTCACTCCGAGCGGGAGTGAGGGACCCACTACCAGCCAAATTGCTGCGGAAGAGCCGGAGGTGCCGCCCCTCTCTGGTGTGGCTGCCCCAAGCACCTGCTTGGTAAGCTGGTGCCTAGAGCCGGCCCTGTTAAACTCTGCCAGCCTGCTGTTGGTGTTGAAATCATACTTAGCCAACAGTGCCTGGTAGTTGGCTACACGAAACTGCAACTCCACAGAGGAAAAGACCTTCCTGCCTAGGAGGGTCAACATTTTCGACTCCTTGTCTAGAGGGGTGGACTTTTGTGTGTGTTGTCAAGCCTGATGCGCAACTGTTTGCGCCACCAGTGAATTAGAGGCTTGGTGCATAAACAGGAAATCAGTCCCTTTGGCTGGCATGGGGTGGGTCACATGATATGGGTGTACGCCAAACCATTCTGGCCTCTTCCAATATGGCCTCATTTACAGGAAGGACCACCCTGGATGATCCCTGTGGCTGAAGGATATCCAGGAGACAACGTTGGGGATACTGGACCTCCTCAAGTGGAATTTGTAGATTGCTACATGCGTGGCTACCAGTTCTTGGTACTGCTGGTGGTCATCCAGCAGAGAGAGTGGCAAAGGGATGACTGCCTCATCCGGTAACGAGGAGGCTCCAGTGGCAGTACCAATTCCATATCTTCCTTGTCATATACCAGCGGAGCTGGCTGTGAGCAGGGGAGGAACGATAAGACTCCTGCGATGGTGCTGGACAGCTGTGGTATGGGTCCCAGGGGCTCCAGTAGGGCCAGAAAGAGGATTCCATCAGTCTCAGCAGACCCCATGCTTCCCTGGGGCTGGTTATAGCTAGGCAGATAAGGTTGCCTTGGCTCTCTCTCTGGGCTCTTGTGCTGCGGCGGAGACACTGACAGGGCTATGTCCTGGGACACCTCTGAGTCAGATGACAGGTCCACTGGAAATGGCACTACTGGGAGCCCTGATCCGATGGATGGGAAAGGGGGCTCTCCTGCAACAGGAGTAACAGTTCATCCTCAGGCATAGGAATGTCTCAGAGAATGGATGGGTGCGACAGGAGCAGAGACTATGAGTAAGGCAGGAACACCTCTTTCAGTCAGGAATGTCTCCATACATCCCAGAGTCGGTGGGGTTACCACTGAGAATGCAGAGGGACCTGGTTTGGCTGTCGAAGCTGGCTGGTCTGAGGATTGACATGGCGGCACTCATAGAACACGTGGGGCTGCACCCATAGTTGGAAGCTCCATATGTCTCACCACTGGTACTGATGAATCCCGCTTCTTCTTTACCTTACCTTCCAGTTGGGGGGGCCTTTAGCAATGGATACATGGGATCCACATGCAACATCTCACCAGACCCAGCACAGCACAGAGAGGAAATAAGTTTATGAGCAGTCCACTGTGGGGATCTATTCTTATGCCTGTGAGATATAGTTTCTTACTTGTGTGGGGAGGAGCTTGTCCTTGGGCTTCTGTGCCAATAGCACCGCATCATGGATCATGCTAGGAGGGGCACTACCAGTCAGCAGAGGACACTGTCCAGGGGGCTATCCTTGGTCAGGATCAGATTGAGTCTGGAATCTCATAGCCTCTTCTATCAGGAATGTATGGAGTCAGAGCTCATAAGCCTCTGTAGTCCTGGGCAGGAAGGACTTACAGGTGCTGCCCTTCGCCGAGATGTTCACCTCACCCGGACAGTAGAGGTATCATTGATGCTTGTTACTGATGGAAAAGGAACCATGGTAGGATACACAGTTCTTGAAGCCCGGGTCCTTGGGCATGGTCCTCACGTAATGAGGCGTTCTTCCCCTCAACTGGGGAGGGGTTCTATACTAACTATGCAAAATTATTTACACAGGTATACAGAACAACTTTCTTAATGAAATAAGAGCGAAGGAGGAATAGGAGTTCCAACTCAGGCCATGGGGTGGTAAGAAGGAACTGGAGTGGCATCGACCTGCACTGCGCCTTATATCCTCGGTCAGAAGCATGAGGAAAAACACTGCACATATGTGAGTCAATAGACATTGCTTGGAGGAAACTTTAAGACTCAGGTGCATGAGCTCCCACGTGTGGAATATACACAGGGACCGTCACAAAAAAATCACCACTGACTGGAATTTCATTTGACAGTCTCACAGATACCAAGGATTTAATCAGCATGGGCCTGAACTATCCTCTTAAAGAGCTGTTCTTCCAATCCAGATCACAGTCAAAGTATAGTGGCACTGATGTGTACCAACAGGTGTTCAACAGATGTAAACTGAGGTTCTTTGCTTCAATGCAACACTTATGATGCCAGAAGCACACTACAAAGCTACACAGTAAAGAGGAGAAATACCTTAAAAAGGATAAGGGAGGTTCCAGCTCCTATAGTAGAAACGGAAAAGACAAACTGTGTGGTCTCCTTTTATAGATGTGTTCCTAAGTCAAGCTCAGTACATCTCACATTTTGCACACAAATGGCTCTTCACACAATTCAAAGAATGGGGTTCTAGAAAGAAAGAGGGGGGAGCTGCTCTCCAGCTTAGCATCATGCATTCCAGAATCTATCTATCTTACTCATTCCTCTACTGCTTTCCCCTTCCCTGTCAAGTTACCTTGTTAAGATTGCCAAATCCCATTCTTTGCACAGCAGATGTTTTCCACTCAGGAAGAGGAGGCACAAACTGTACAGCAGGTGGTTGCTGTTTCAACACTCCCAAGGGAAGAGTGCACAGGACAGCATCACATTTATAAATAAAAGTCTGGCTAGTGGAGCGGGTGTTCACAGCTATCACTTCGCATCCTGGTAAAGGTAAGGAAAAGCAGGGATTTAGACATTTAATAAGTCAGGGTCCTGTGGAAAAAACAGTGCATGATCATATAGTTAGGAGACTATCATAATGCATTTGCACAGTGGGACAGAATTTAGGTTGCACAGACAACCTTAATTTTGGCATGGTCTAATTTTTGAGTGCTTGAATCTGCAACATTAACAGCATTCAAGGAATTCAATATTTGAATAACTGAACAGTCCTTGTATTACCATAGTGCTTAGAGAGAACAGTCAGTACTAAGGCCCCCACTGCAGTGCACCCTGAGCAAATACATATGAAGACATTCCCTGCCCCATAGTTCTGCAAAGATGTGGGAAACTGCTTAATCTTGATGCAAATGGAGACAGGATGCCAACGGAGATTCAAGAAGGGGAATAACCGTTCACAGCAGATTTGACAAAACGCAAAGGAGATACCAATGTGAGATTTCTAAAAATAGCTACAGCATTCGACCTAAGGTTTAAGAATCTGAAGTCCCATCCAAAATCTGAGAGAGACGAGATGTGGAGCATGCTTTCAGAAGTCTTAAAAGAGCAACACTCCAATGGGGAAGCTACAGAACCCGAACCACCAAAAAAGAAAATCAATCCTCTGCTGGTGGTAACTGACTCAGATTATGAAAATGAACATGCATTGGTGCGCTCTGCTTTGGATCGTTATTGAGCAGAACCCATCAGCAGCATGGATGCATGTGCTCTGGAATGGTGGTTGAAGCATGAAGGGACATATGAATCTTTAGCGGATCTGGCACATAAATATCTTGCAATGCCGGCTACAACAGTGTCACGCAGACACCTGTTCTCACTTTCAGGTGACATTGTAAACAAGAAGCGGGCAGCATTATCTCCTGCACTTTGTAACAAAACTTGTTTGTCTGAGTGATTGGCTGAAGTAGGACTGAGTGGACTTGTAGGTTTTACATAGTTTTATTTTTAAGGTCAGGCTTGACAAAGCCCTGGCTGGGATGATTTAGTTGGGGATTGGTCCTGCTTTGAGCAGGGGGTTGGACTTGATGACCTCCCGAGGTCCCTTCCAACCCTGCTATTCTATGAATGCAGTTATTTTTTGTACATAATTCTACATTTGTAAGTTCAACTTTCATGATAAAGAGATTGTATTACAGCACTTGTATTAGGTGAATTGAAAAATACTATTTCTTTTTTTACAGTGCAAATATTTGTAATTAAAATATAAAGTGAGCACTATACACTCTGTATTCTGTGTTGTAATTGAAATCAATACATTTGAAAATGTAGAAAACATTCAAAAATAAATACTATACTATTATTGTTAATCGCTTGACAGCCCTACACTGGGTTACATAAAATAATAAAACAAGTTTATTAACTACAAAGAGATTTTAAGTGAATACAAGTAATGAGGCATAAAAGAAAAACAAAGATAAAACACTTTCTGGTGCCTAACAAACGACAGAATCGTAGAACTGGAAGGGACCTCAATAGGTCATCTAGTCCAGTCACCCGCACTCAAGGCAGGACTACATAATAACTAGACCATTCCAGACAGGTGTTTGTCTAACCCGTTCTTAAAAATCTCCAATGACAGAGATTCCACAACCTCCCGAGGCAATTTATTCAGGGCTTAATTACCCTGACAGTTAGGAAGTTTTTCTTATTGTCCAACCTAAACTTCCCTTGCTGCAATTTAAGCCCATTTGCTTCTTGTCCTATCCTCAGAGGTTCATAGATTCTAGGACTGGAAGGGACCTCGAGAGGTCATCGAGTCTAGTCCCCTGCCCGCATGGCAGGACCAAATACTGTCTAGACCATCCCTGATAGACATTTATCTAACCTACTCTTAAATATCTCCAGAGATGGAGATTCCACAACCTCCCT